TAGAAAACAAATGTAAGTGTGACACACTTTGTACATATAAATACATGTACATATACATCACACATGGGTGAAAACAATCTTAGGAATGACCAGGCGCCAAAGGTTGTAAAAATATTAAAATAAACAACTCATTCTTTTTCTTACCAGTTGCTCTTTTCCGCTTCTAAATGTGCTGTATCGCATAAACTTTGAATTGAGCTCAACAGGTTCCCCTTGACTAGAGAAAAATAAAAGAAAGTAATTATCATTAAAACTAACAGTCACTAGTATCACTACAGTGAGTATCACTAATTGTCACTGACCTCTGGCTTTGAAGTATTTTATTCTGTTTCTCATTTTCAATACACTATAGGAACAAAACATTAAGTAATTTAAATGATGTAGCACTTTTAATTTTTAATAAAATTGGTTTAACAATTTTGCTGCTTTTAATAAAGCTCATTAAAAAAATAGCAATTATTGACATGGTTAGTATTTATTCAAAGTATTTGAAACACAATTTATAAACGCTGTACCTGAGCAATATCAGCTATCCACTGTGCCTTCTCTGCCGCTGACATTGCAATAAATATCAACTTCTGCTTGGACTGACTCTGTGAACCATCATCAATCTCAAGACCAAAACTGAGAAAACGTAACTCTAAAAATTGAAAATAAAAAAAAGACAAAGAAGAGAGAGATAAGAGTTAAATAGTGATGATGGAGTCTTTGAGAGTTACAATGTACATAACCAGTCATAAATAAATTCACACCTTAAGGAGACAATTGTTTGTGGGTACTTAACTTAGCAAATTTTAGCAATGAAAAAAAATTGCGAACTTAAGTCTGCACTAACATTAATTCTGATTAAATTATTAATACATGTAGTTCTTAATAACTTATTAAATGATGAAAACACTAAACTAAATACCAGCCAAATGTCAGTCATTAAAATAGCTAAAATAAGTAGACACTAATAATTGTCTCCTTAAGGTAGATACTATGTACATGTACATGTATTACATTACCTGGATACTCATGGAGTGCATGTTCATGTATCCTACATTTAGCGAGTGAGAGTAACCCGTTCTCTTTCAACAGACGGTATCCCTCTTTTCCTTTCTTCTCTACTCTCTGTGTCACTAGGAAATGCTTTGAAAACAGGAAGCAAAAGTTCTGCCTCCTTCTTGTCTTCCTGGAGAAAGTGAGCAGCTTATCATCCTATCTCCAAATACAAAGAATGCCTTTAAGAGATGTAAAATAACTTAGCAATTAATGTATGTACTTACCCTTTCTAACTAATGCCTGCTCCTTGTCTAAGAGCACAGGACAACCTCCTTCTACCTTGGACTCTATTTTTAGAACGTTACGGATATTTTCAGAATAGGACACTTCATCAGTCACACCCTACAGTATGGAGGGACCAGAAAGAAAGAAGAGTAAATATGCACGTGTATATGTACAAAGTAAATGAGTCATTAAATGAGGCCATGCTATAGAGATTCAGTTCTTACCAGTTATGTATTATGCCCTTTAATGCACGTGAAATATTTAATACATTAGGTACTATGTACTTTTGGTATTATAAATAACACAAAGTGATAGCCATTAAAATTACTAAGCATTCTAAACAGTGTCTAATAATGTTGTGTGGGCACATAATTCAGTTAACAATTACAGCTAGTGAATGTTGTAATACTACAGGATATGAAGAAAGTACGTAAGGTTAAGCATAATAATAATGTTAATGGTAGATTAATTAGTCCATACATTGTTCATAATTTGACAGCTAAGGAAGCAAGGCATGTTTGTCACACTTACATTTTTTGATTTTTTGGCTTTTCTTAAGTTCTTATTGAATTAGGATAAGACAACTCATATCTTTGTTGAAGGAATGTGTTAAGAGTCCTGTTCCTGTATATCTGTGCATGCGTAGTTTACAGATATTAATGATTACATAACAGTGCATATAACGCAAAGATAATAATTACTAGTAAATACATACACTGTACCCTGATTCATCACATAATAACTTTTACAAAGGTGTAGTTTAGGACTGAGGATATTATTCCCAAAAATGTCCCCATTATTCTATTCCCTTATTCCCAATATATTTGCCTATTATTCCTATTATTATTCCCAAGTATTATAAAATAAACAAAATAACTATACAAAATTTGTCTCATTTAATGCTCATTATACTGTAACATTATAATGATGCCTCAATTGAGTCTTGTAAAGCACACTCATGGGTATCTTTGAAGGTGTTAGACAAGATTTATTAAGCATTCAGCCACACCTACTGCACAATTTTACAAATTTTGCCCTATTATTCCAGAATTATTCTTTATTCTTTAGACCACCTATTATTCTTTTTTTATTCTGGGAATAAAATCCTCAGGCCTAGTGTAGTTGTTGGTCATTGCGGGTTGGTTGGGAGGCGGGCCCTATTCGGTGGATTATTATAGATCTAC